AGATTTTCATGTGAATAATAAATCAGTCCAAAGATGAGTTTATTATTTGACAGAGGTTATTGTCAATGTTTGATCACTACAATAAGAGTACCACTTACAATTGATATTGCTGTCCAAAGACTTGATATTGATGATGTGCTACGCATCTTGATATGTGACTTACCATTATTTGAATTTATTGATTATTGAATGTTAATAATAATATGAGTATAATTTATCATTTTCTCTCTACAGCTAGTTCATATGCTACTATCATATCTGCAAATGTTAATTCTAATCTCATACTTAATGGGACAAACTTCAAGGATTGGAAATAGGACATATTGATTGTTCTTGGCTGCATGGATCTTATCCCAATTAGTCACTAAAGCTACGAGCTCAGTTCTCATCCCAATTCTAAACTCGGCTTGGCCCTTTGGCCCATTGACCGCATGGACCAAGCGGGATCATTTTTTAACGAAATTAATGAAATAAATCCAAAAATGATCCGACTCATGAAAAAAAAGTGAACTAGACTCAACCCATAGCACGTTTCAAAATTAGGCCTAGTAGGGACGAACCGAGCCCTCAAGCTATTCAACCCTTTTGTCACTCCTAATCAAGATATTTTGTATTTGGAAAATAGATGGATGATGGCAACTGCCATGGGTTTTAGGTTAAGAAGAGAATTTCACATATGCATGCCGAATGACATATTTAAAAAGAAATAAATAAAGATTAATCGCTTCATAACCCCCGTGGGTTCCCTTAACCATACCACACCGTTTATATGTCGCCAGCTCATTTTTCAACAGGCATGCAATCAAAGTTTTTCCGAATGTCAGTAGCCTTTAAAATATTTTGCAGAGAATAAAAGTAAACTCTTTAAAAGGATACAAGAACAACAAAAAGGTTTTATGCTATTATTATCCAGAAAGCAGATGGTCAAGTAATTATCTCAGATTAAACAAGAATTAACTCGACATTAAGAAATGAAATGACCAAGGGCCTGTTTGGATAGGTTTCACGTATATTTTTGTAAAAGAACTTCCTAAGGAAACTCTTTTTAAGTAGCTTTTTAGTCTTAAAAGCAACTAGATAGCAACTTGACAAACAATCAGTTTTCTAGTGATTACAAATCATAACACTAATAGTAGAAGTGATTAAAATCAATTTGTCTTAACTATTTCAGTTTCCATATAATTCAAATGAAATAGGACTGAACTGAGCTTCTACAGATATCACAATTCAATTGAAAGAATCACTTCATAACCAACCATATACGGCGTGAGTATGAGTTAAAACAGTATAATAATTTCAGCCATTGAATCTATTAAAGTTTAACTATATTATTCGTTGTAAAGAAAGACGGGGAATAGTCATATCCGGTATAGTGACGTCCCTTCAACTGTGGTGGACTGAAGAAAAGGGACGAGTTTTTGTGACAATGTTCAATCCTCTCGATATTATTGGCGGCGATTTTGGCATGCTTTGTACTCTGTCTTCTTCCTCTTTTTTCATTATTTGCGAGGAGGTAGGCTCAGTCAAATGCAACAAGCTAAGCTCTGTAAAGATAAATATGGCGACAGCTCTAAATGATAGTCATAGGCAAAATTGAAAAACCAGTTAGAATTTCATTTCATGTTATAGTTGCCCACCTGCGACATTTCCAGTATACTGGGTGGAGTTTTATTTTTGGATTATACTTGCTGTTGTGGCCTGTGGGGAAAAGACGATGAAGCGCAAAACAAGCTGAAGGAGAATGAAGACCCAAAGATATGTATATTCCCATCAGATGCAAAGTATTTAAAAGAAAAACCTTAGAAGTTCACGAGCCAACTCCAACTGGGGCAAAAAAAAAGAGAACAAAAAGAAAAAGTATTTGCAGAAACCAGAAGACGAGAAAATAAAGAATGATGAAACTGAGGAATCAAGGGTGACAGAGAAAAGGTAATATGATTTATAGCATCCAAAGTCAACTACTTAATTTTCTTGCATCTCAACAGAGCAAACAATTTGCAAGAAACCCCCTTCAGAGGTTCAAAAAAATTGGATTGCTAATATATCCTGGTTATGCTCATTTGGCAGCAAAATAAGCTGTATTATCCTGTCCCCGGCAACGGACACCATTTTTTGGAAGTAATTGTTCAAAATTTTTGTCAATGACAAATTCAAACAGATTCCTGAGATCATCTGTTCAATTCTAATCTAAATCCACCTGCAGCGAAACTTGCAACGGTTTGATGATGATGAAACTGAAAACAGACAAATTTTTGGGTACTTGATCTATATCATCCTAACTAAACATGTACTCTTTCAAGTTTCAAGTCAATAGCTGAGTTCACAACAAAGAGAAACTCAGGTCTGTCACGCATGAATTTGCTCAACTCTTGCAAAATGCCTTCATTCTTACTGCTTACTGCAACTACTAACTCCAGCAATAAAATCTTGACATTATTTCTACAGGACCATTCTCTTCCATTCATAGATAAGGGAAACTGCCTTGATTCCTCCTAATTTACACTTCTCAGGCATTGCTCAGTTAGCCTTTGAAACCCTCCAACCCCACCTCTCCCTTCTCTCTCTACATTTTTAATCCTGAAACCTGACGAGACCAGCAATTCCATTGGAGAAATTTCCAAGGAAAAGAATATATCAGAAAAAATTATTTTTGAACAAAAGGGATAACAATAAAACTGTTACTGTTGTAAATCCAATTCCTTCTTAAATTTGATTGTTCGACATCAAGCAATGCTTAATTCAAAAATTCAAAATGGGAGAAAAGACGGAAAAATGTCATAGGCAAAGAACTGTGAACTACCTAATATTTACATAGCACTTCCTAAATTGCGCAGTGAAATTTCTTCA